TGACAGCCTCTATGTAGAGGCTGATGAACCTTCCTTAAAACATCGCCGTATTAAATTGTCTCTTCAATATGTTACTAAATTACGTTCGAACCCCTCTAATCCTGCTTATGACTCCGTTTTCTATCCCCTGTATGAAAATCTATTTCAGAAGAAACCGAAACTGATCCCTCCACTTGGAATCCGGCTCAAATCCCATATTACTAATGGAAATCTAGATCTGGATCTTATCTCTCCTTCCCGGCTTTTGTCTACTCCTCCCTGGCAGTTGGTGAGGCCAGAAGTAGACATTTCACTGACACGCTTTCTAAAATCTGACACAAATCAACTAGTATATCAACAGGAATATTTACAACTAAGAAGCAAATATGACACTCACCGTTCAATTTTTACTGATGGATCCAAGGACGGTGGCAAAGTAGCGAGTGCCACTGTCGTTGGATCCAAGATTATATCGTCTAGAATACCAGACAATAGCTCTATTTTCACTGCTGAGGCCAATGCTATCCTTACAGCCTTGGTATATATTCAACGACAGTCTTCATGTAAACAGTTCATCATTTTTTCGGATTCTCTTTCTTGTCTTCAGGCGTTAACTAAGGTATCTTCTACTCATCCGATTATTTTACATATTTTAGAACTATACAATGATCTTTCAACTGGCCAATGCGACATCGTATTTTGTTGGTTGCCGAGCCATGTGGGCATAACTGGAAATACCATGGCCGATGCTGCTGCAAAGGCGGCGCTCAACAAGTCTGTGACACCACTTCTGCTACCATATAGTGATTTGAAACCTGCAATAAGATCTTACATCCGTGATCTAATGCAACAGAAGTGGGACACCCAAGTAGACAATAAATTACATGCCATTCAACCCAATATTGGTTACACCTACTTGGGTTGTCAGTCCAGATTTGATGAGGTCGTTATGCGACGATGTCGTATTGGCCACAGCAGATATACTCATGATTATCTATTGAAAGGTGAGGATCCTCCGTTTTGCATCCCTTGTGATGAAAGAATCACAGTCAGGCATGTCCTGCTTGACTGTATCGATTTTTCCATCACAAGGGATCAATATTTCAGTGTCAAAACAGTTAAGGACCTTTTTAACAATGTTAATTCATATTTAATCCTTAACTTTTTAAAAGATATTGAACTAGTTCACAAATTTTGATATGTATTTTATGAATCGGTAGTGTATGATTATTAACAGAGATTGTTCGTGGCTATGCCCTTGACGGGGGTTGACGTAGCGTAAAATTATTGTCCCCCTGAGAGGGTATGTAAGACCACCTCTTTCAATGTATATTTATATCTACCTCTATTTTAACTGCAGAATATTTGTTGATTTTAATCTCTGGCTAAACTTGCGACAATCACCGGTAACTAGGGTAAAGGTGTAAATCCTGCTGGGGAACCATGCAGGTAGCAGAGGTACAGTAAGTCCCCTTGGTCCCTAGTATGGTGACCTTCACCTTGTTGCTGGTGATCTATAGCCCCATTTTTATATTGTGTCGTATCCAACTGTTCAAATAGTTTTAATGTTCTACAACTAGTTTTAAGTCAATCTGTGATATACTGCTAGTTATTCTACTGTCCTTCGTCGACAGTTTTTTATTAATCTTGTCCAACTCTTTCAAGTCACATTATGGCTGAAATATTGCCGACGTGACTTTAATTAAACTCACTCACTCACTCACTTCCCAATACATGATGCTCCAGATAAATCTGATCCTGTTGGAAATAATGATTTCCTCCTGGCCGGTTTCTGTTCGCAATCCTCGTTCAGCAAGCGTTTCTTAGTCTCTGATCCATGGGTATCATCCAAACGGGACACAGTTTGACGGTATGACGTTCTAAGTTTGTCAATAATATCCCTGGCTCTCGTCAAGTGTAAGTGACATTTTTTACTAACAATATTAGTTGAACACTCATTGAAATATTTGCTTCAAGATACTTCTCAAATAGTAAAAAAATGTCCGTTTTTGTGTCGCCCCTGAATAATCTCCTCCTGTAATTCACATCCTTGACATCATTCCCACACACAAGGCAAACAGTAGTTTTAGTCTTGGGTGAAATATTCATAGTTTTAGAAAGTTTGGTTGGAGTTCCGGAATTTTGTGGGATAAAAGCCATCAGGACATGTTACTGAATAATAGAATAAGCCAGATAAATATAACAGCACAGCTCCCAAACCAATAGCAGTAAATTCACTCAAAGGAACCATGTGGCCGTTCTTTGTGTCAGTGACATCTGATACTACCATGGCCTGCCCTCTTCCCCCCCCCCCCCCCCCCCCCCCCCTTCCTGGAATTGATGAAAGTGAAAATGTAAACAGATAAGTGTTTAGTTACGTAATTGTGCCATCATCTTTCTTTTTCGTAAATCGCTTTACAGCAATTACTCCTTGATGTTTCAGCTCAGCTGCAATTTGCTCCTCACTCATGTCAGAAAGACAACGAGCCCTGTCTCTGACTATGCCTCTGCAGGCGTTCAGTGTCTGGTGCACTGAGACAACAACTGGAATATTCACAAACTGTTTTAATATCAAGAGATTGTCAGATTGTTGTCTCTGTGCACATTCCACTAACAGTGAACCGCTTTGGAGTCGTGTTACGTTCTTCACTTCTCCACAGACGCCTTTAATGCCCAAGGAGATTGCAAAGGGGTTCAGTTTTAAAGGTGTTTCATCAGAAGATAAGATCACAATAAACCTGGGCCACGAGTCAAAAATTTCAGACGAGTCTTCATCAGACGATAAAGACTCAACATGTCTCCGTTTATTCTTTGATGAACCAGAAGGAAGGGGAAGAGCCATGGTGTAAGTAAAGGTTTCGACATCTCTGCTCCCCACCCGCCATGGAATGTCAACAAGGACGATGGTGCAGTGGAAGCCCGCCTGCACCACCAGGGCTACAGAGATGTTATACTCCAGCAAATAGAAACGTGAATAGCTTGGGAATCTGACAGAAGAAATGCCAGGCTGGTTCGCCCATGACACTTTTCTGGAGAAACACAGAATTCAGAGGTTTATAATGCCAGATTGGCCCATGAGCCACCGCCTTCTGGCATAGGACTCTAGGCAAAATTGAAATTAACAGGATCAAATTTATGATATATCCTGATCAAACTTTGGTTGATATATATCGAAATTATTCCATTCAAGTATTCCATGCACAGGGCATGGCGTGACCAGCCGATTGATAGAAACTGGCCAATTCTACCACCCGTCTAGGTGAAGTAAGGGTCGAAGTGGTGTGTTGAGCATAGGAACACTGTTCCTGGAACCAGTGCCCTCAACTACAAGACTACCGTCCTCCGCCTACACAGGGACGCAACCCACGGCAAACGGGTTGCCCACTTTGGTCGCCTTTTACGACCAGCAATGTGGTGCTGTGGACATATTCTACCCCGGGTCCACACGGGGGAAGAGCTATTAGCGTTACCCAGCACTCACCACGGGGAGGTTGCTCTTCACGAGTGCCCTTCTGCTACAAGGGGTGTTGAGGTCGGCACTCAATTCACTCGCGAATAAGAAAATATCTTCAAATTATCTCACTGCTGTTACATTTTTCCATACCTGTTTACTCAGTTTAGTCTCCCTTACTACGTTGAAGGGAGATTTTCATCCATCTTGCAAGCTCAAGGATGGGCAGATTAACATATACAAGAACCATGTGTTCTTAAACCTTTCTGATTTAATTGCACAATATAACCCGAGAACCTGGTACAAATGGCTCTATAAATGACATCTTTGATGAGTGAGTGAGTGCGTATGGTTTTACACAACTTAGGAATATTCCTGCAATATCACGATTGGGGACACTAGAAATGGGCTGCACATATTGTACCAATGTGGGGAATTGAATAAATATTTACGTATCTTCTGGCCGAAAACGTCGATCAAAATGTGATCGGTTTAAACCGATGTTCATGCCCAGATTATAATTAAAACGACAAACCCTTTCTATTTTCAAATAGTTTATTTCCCTCCACTGTTTTACCCACCTGAACTAGAAATAAAAGAGACCAGTGTGACAGCCTCATCTGATATTTTGATCTATGAATAAAGATTCAAAGTGGCAAAGCACTCTCCACACGACTGTATGACAACATGAGTTCAACTTTCCCTTCATGTCGAGCAGCTCAAACCTCTGGTGTTTACATTTCACAACTTTTGAGATACGACCGAGCATGCTCTTTATTCCAAGGTGTCAAAGAGCGTCACATAACTATTGTTCAGAAGTTGTTTGATCAAAGTTACAACATTCAAGGCCTCATTATAGCTTTCATAATTTTTTATGCTAGGCATGTGGAGGATATTTCCAAATTCATGAAATCAGTGACAAACATGATGTCCGATGTAATTCCTTATTTTGACCATATGTTCCTGTGCTTTTTCAGGTGAACAGTTTACCTGTTTTTGCGTGTGTTTGTAACAGGTGCCACTGGTGCGACAGGATACGCTCCCCTTTTCGCGAACACCTGGTATCATCACTATTTTTAGTGATTCATGAACACATGCTCCTAATGTAGTACGGAACCGTACAATCGACTTCCATTGAATATGGAAACGGTTTTGTCACTTTTATTAAACAGCTGTTTTGACATTGCCAATCCAAGCAGAAAGAAACCGATCAGCAAGAAGGGGATCACAACTGTTCCCAAGGGGATGCCTACTTCTCTCTTATCATGTCTTACCCCGTAGTTGGTCGATAGTTACCACGATTTGTAACAGATGGACCAAGGAATAAAGTTGGGCTTTCCATAGACAAAAATACAAAAAACGAAGCGTCCATTGTACGATTTGTACTACAAGTATATCATAAGCATGTGTCTGTTAATCATCACCAAACAGTGATGATACCAGGTGTTTACGTGAAAAAGTGGCGTATCCTGCACCACGCGCCCAAAAGACACATGCAAAGGCAAGAACACGTAAAAAACAAGGTCAAAATTAGGAATTTTATCCGACAACATTTTGATCCAACTTCAACATGTCTTCTGTAGCAGTGACATATTAAGGGTAGTTTAGTGTTTTTACTTACTTACTTTGGAGATTTAACGTGCGCTTTCCGACTGATGCGTATTTCGTGTTTTTACTTGGTTTCTTTGTATATATCTATTTTACAATTATTGGATGTAACATGGTGTTTTATATTTTATGGTTTAAAGGTAAAATAAGAATAAAAATAATGTATAAGTCATAAAAAGGTTGTTATAAATATCGATGGTTGGTAGCAATATTCTAATGTTTGTGGTTTTAAGCGAATGTCAATTAGATTGACATTTGGTTTTGTTTATATATTAGTTCATATGAATTTCATTCATCTGAATGGTTATGACGTCAGAGTTATGTAAAGTATAATGCTGGATCAAGAGTATTGTCTCATTCTGGATCCAGGATGAAAGTTGTTTATTACCTGACCCTAATTCTTAGCGTCTCATTGGCTCATTTAAAAACTAAGATAGTTTTCTTTGCGCCAATCTAACCACCTCACAATCACAGCACAGCACATGAGGCAACAGCAAAGTGGCAGTAGGATTAAACAGGTCAGTTAAGTACTTAAACACTAAATTATGTTTAGGTTAATTAGTTCTTTTATATGTTCATTGAGTATGTTGTTTCTTAGAAATTAATGTTATTTATTATCTTGTTAAAAATGATAATGTTGAAAAATGAATTTAAGTATCTAAAGTATCTGATGTTTGTCAACTAAGTCAGGGGGCACGGGTGGCCGAGTCGTCTATGGCGCCGCGATTCGCTGTGCAGAGTTGCGTCCCTTGGGCATGCCAGAAACCTATGATTGTGGGTTCGAATCCCGGTTCGCCCCGATTATGTTTCTAGGTTTGTCAGCACCATACCCGTGCTCGTGGGTTTCACCGAAGTGGTAAACGTCTGAGACATGCATCACTTCGGGCTTTCCTCCCACATTAAGCTGACACGCCGCGATATAACTGGAATACTGTTAAAAGCGGCGTTAAACCCAACTCACTCACTCACTCAATCAGCTAAGTCAAACCTAAAGTCCATATGGTAGAGTAGAAAGTTGCAACAAATGTTCTGATTAGAGGTAAAATAGTTATTAAACGTCAGCTTTTGTCAGTCCGCTGTGTGTATATATATCAAACGGTTTTGTTTGAATTGTGTAATTGGAGACCCTGAGTGACTGCATTGTCACAATGTTGTATGATGGTGTGTGTAAATTACAGGCAATCTATGGTCATCGAGCGCGAGTCACCACGTTCAATTACATGGCTCAATTCCACAAATAGGTAAGGCTTATTAGCATGTTTAAATATGTTATCTTCATGTACACTTTTTGTGTAACCTTTTGTAGGTTACGACATGCTTATTCAAATGTACGTCATCTTACTTGTGGAATGATGTGTATGTTAGGTATATGTGTAAATATTGTTTTACTTTTGAGTATGTGGGCAAAATGTATTTGGTTGTATATGATAACATGACTAATTGATAAATTTGTAACAATCTACAATGTATTATGAGATATCATAGTATCAATATATTCTTCATATAAGCTACTTGTGATATGTATGTGTTACTTATATAATTTATTGCCGTTTCTATTATGTTGTAATTGTTTCAGGGCCATTTCAACATTTATGCATCTCTAAATCTGAATAAAACCGATGACAACCCCAGCGTCTAACCAGCTGTAACATTTGGAGCCTCAGTAAGGAGTTATTCAGATCTTCACCTGGTGGTGACCGGAAGTTGATCTGATGTTGACCGGACGTTGATCTGATGGTGACCGGAAGTTGACTTGTTTACATCCCGTGATCTGCCTTTCTGTGAGTTACATGCCTTTGCCTTGTAACATCTATTTTGCCTGTTTTAATTAGCGTGCTGTGATAATGCTACTTTGCTGAACTCAGTACACACTTGATCAATAGATTGTTTATACAATCATGTGAACATTTTACAGCATTGAACTTTTATTGTACAGCAGGGATCCAGTGAACATTACGGATTGACATGGTGTATTGGACATTTGTTGATTCTGTGATATTTTATATTGTCTGACTTTTATCTAAACTTACATGTATCTGAACACTGTGATATTTGTGTATCTAAGGGTTGTGAAACAAAAATGAATTTAGTAGTTGCCCTGATTGACCTCTTATTGCCCATGTTTATTTTATAGGTTTATTTTTTTGCCTTTGTTATGTGTGTCATGCGTATGGTTACATTGTGTCATGATACATAATCCCAGTGTGCTTACATGTCATCATTGAAGGTGTCGAGCATTTCACATATTGTTTTCTCAGTTATCATCAGATTGCATTTGCTTACATTTTTGTCATTTTTCTGAACCTTTGAAGACAGATATGTTGCTAGATCTGTGGTCACCGCGTTTTTAACAAATGCCCCATTATGTTTCTTGTGAGGGATAGACAATATGGACATGCAATTCAAATCATTTTAACTTTGACAATTGTTGAGGGATTTTGGGGAGATATCTTAGACAGATGATCAATACACGTTTAGTGACATAGTGAAGAATCAGCACACCTGTATTCTACAAGAGGTACACTGATACATTGAATTGAGTAATTCAAAATTATATTTTGCTCAAGACAAAAGGCTTAAAAGCGTCTTTTATACCCGTTTGGTAGAGATGTAGGAAGTGTAAAAGATCATCCCCACTGATCGCGTGACAGTTGGACCAAGCAAAATATGATCAGCTCTCCTCTATTCTACATGAATTACACTGCTATATGGAATTAAGTAATTACAAATGATCATTTTCTCAAGACAAAAAAAGTACTTCAGCATAAGGCTTAAAATCGTCTCTTATACCCGTGTTGTAGTGATATGGTAAACCATCATCTCCACTGTTTACAACATAATCACGTCACAGTTGGGCCAAGGGAAATATAATGCAGGTGTATGGTATGATCAGGTGGCACGTTTCCATGCTGTAACACAGATTTTTTTATATGAAATGAATGTTTGTGCATGTATATTTTCTTTGTTTAAATGTAAGTATATTCATGACAGTGCAGTGTACATAGACTCTGCAAACATAAAGAGATGCAAAAGAAGTAAAATCGTAAATATCTAACAGAGTGTTGCCGACAAAATTAGTTATGGCCGTGAGTGTTATCAACTGAAATCATTACAGACAACCCTGGTCGCAAAAGTAAAAAACTCGTTGATATCTAAAAGAGAGTTGCCGACAAAATTAATTATGGTCATGAGTGTCATCAACTGAAATTAGTATATACCAGGTTTTTTATCGTAGAATATTTGTTTGTTTTAATATTGGCTAAACGTCTCCATAATCACCAGTAACTGAAGGGATGGTGTAAATCCTGCCGGGGTCCATGCAGGTAGCAAAGGTACTGTGAGTCTCGATGGTCCCCAGTATGGTGGCCTACTTATAGGTTGGTGGTGATAAATAGCCCAATTTTACATTGTATTGTATTGTATGAATAGTCACGTTTTATGTTAATTTACTTGTTTTAAACCTACATCTGTGATATTCTAGTTCTTTTACTATCCTTTGTCGACAGGTTGGTATTCTAAATTGATGTATTGTATATTTTGATATCGTGATTATTGCCCTTTCTCAATACGTGAGTTATCTGTCCTTGGCGGACACTATATGGCTGAAATATTGCCGATGTGACTTTAAATTTTTACTCACTCACTCAATCACCCACTAGTACAGACAACTCCGATCGTTTGCTGTTATTTATTACGTTGAAGTACAAAGACACAATGACGAGCAGTTAGGGTTCATATGCCAAAGGTACCGCGGGTCAACCGAATGTGTTGTCATGCCGAAGGTAAAGTGTTGACGGTGACTTCGCACAGAGAAAAGGCTTCGCTCGGAAGTTTGACCATCTTGGTGATTCTCAAATAACGACCGGTCATGGGCGTGTCACAAGTCAAAGTTACTGTCTCTCCTCGACCAACTTGTTCTTCACGGAATGTGCACTTGTGACGGGTGACCTCTGTGTCGCCTGAACAGCTTGATGGCAGTTGATCATAAAGATCAATCTGGATGTTGGAGAGCCACGTGTCTAGATAGAGGTTCAGTAAAATACATTAACATTAGTTTTGATTTAATAACAAACAATTGGTGAATATTTTTAAACTGATCAAAGAGACAACGTTTATATTTACATTCATATACCACAGTGAATGCTTGTCATAAGAGGCGACTAACAGGTGGTCAGGTTTGCGACTTGCTTTGATGCATCCTCATTGATAACATTTCCTAACATTTGTGGGTAAAACATTTAGGCAAGAAGTAGGCACCCCATGGGCACCAGTTGTGTTCCCATTCTTGAGGGTCTGTTTCTTCATGCATATGATTTGGAATTTCTGCTCAGATTGATAAAGTCAAAACAAGGTAATCAGGCCAAGAAGTTAAAGTTAAACTTCAGGTATATCGATGATCTGATATTGTTTCATTACCAACTCCCTTCCACTGATTTACCCACTTGCACTCGAAACAAAGGAGACCAGTGAGACCGCCTCATCTGTTTCACATTTCTATTGGATACGGAAAGGGTTTTGTCCTATCGTATACCAGTTATGTGGATCGGTGATGCCGATCACTGGACTGTCTTGTCCAGGCTCGATTATGTACAGACTGCCATCACATAGTTGTAATTACGCTGAGTGGGATATTAAACAGCAGTCAAACACAGTGAGTATTTCAAAATCATGCTTTCAAAGTTTTTGTTCCCTTACAAAATTAGATATATTTTTTGTTACCCTTTGCTTCTATTTGAACCGATACAATGAAACTATATGCGAAGGATAAAAGCAGAAAACTGCCAAAGAAATATTGGTTGCATGTGTGGAAACCGCGAGTAACATGTGCATATGACTCCTTAATACTGACGACCCTTGAACATCCAGGGATAGAACAGGACTTCAACAACCCATGCTTGCCTGAGAGGCGACTAACGGGATCAGGTGGTCAGACTCTTTGACTTGGTTGATGCTTGTCATCGTATCCCTGTTTCGTGCCAATCACTGGATTGCCTGTTTCATACTCTTTCAGTATCAAAATCCCCAAAGGCCGCAAAATTAATGACCTGAACATGAATTCATTATTACACAAAATGTTTAAGAATCTTACACAAGATGGAAGCAGTGTCAGCTGCAGATAACATTGAAGTTGAAACGAAATTGTGTTTGATTGATTACATTTGTGTGACAGTACACTTACATTTGTCATCATTCCGGTTTGTGATCTCCACACTTAAGACAGTAACTGCCCCATTCAGATCCATCTGCCACCAGGGAGCATCACCAGTCTCACTTCCAGTCACGGAACAGGTGCTGACGTCATCATCAGTCGCCATCTTGGCATTGGTGGAAGGGGAGACAACAGAACTTTGGAGAGCAAAACCTTTCCTTTCTAGCGTTACACCTGTACGAACCATAAACAAGAGCTATACGTACCAGAAACAGGAGCTATACGTACCAGAAACAGGAGCTATACGTACCATAAACAAGAGAGCTAGTGGGGATATTTTTATCAGTCTAGCTTCACGCAACAACACACATATTACTGGATACGGTCACACAGGAATTCAATATTCACAACTAGAAATAACATTTAACAACCAGAGGCTTGTTTGGTTTAAAGTTAGACATTTGTTCACACAGTTCTAATCCATGTAAATGTTACCTCCTACGTTAACCTCGCATAACGTCAGACGCTCCTTGTAACCCAGCGAAATTCGGATGTAATATGCAACAACAGGAGAGTCGCATTTAATAGTTTCTGTTTTCTGAACTTGATCCGGGTGCTTTTTGCATAAATGCGGTTGTGCTTCAGGATTGTTTGTGGGATCTTCTTCAAAGCCTTCAATTATCACGTTTTTCAAGCGATTGGCTGAAGAGAAACAAACATATCATCATCATTCCATGTTCCATAATCACCTAGGTACACAATACGTGTAAAGGAAAGTAATGGTGACAAACAAAACATACCACAGCAGTCCCTTCTGTTTGTCAGTGTTATGTTGTGAACTTCAATCTTCGCACTTAGATGTCCAAGCCACCAGGGATGGGAGTCCTTGGGACTCGTGTGAGTACACGAGCCTCCACTATACTTGGCATTTGTATTGCCATCAATTGCTCGAGTAGCCACTCCCCCCTTAATAGTTGAACTTGATGTTGCCGACGTGAATGTAGGTTTTCCTACAATGCGAATGGACTGGGGAGTGTCCTATAATGACATATATTGCTTTAAGGCTCACATACTGCTTGATAACACATGCATATTTCTAACCACTGCCAAATTGATCACGTGTGTTGTGATCGATTTATTTCACATTTATCGTTTAAAAAGCCCATCTTTGAATTGGATCATATCATCATAAATAAAACTTCAATGTGAGGGAAAACAAAACCACCTCTTAATCCATCAATGTCAAGACGAGTTTAAAGCTTGGTTAACATGTAATTAGATTTGATGTAAATTAAATTTGATGGCTACCCTTAATATGCAAACGAAAGCAAGTTAAACTAAACCCAAACCAGTTGCAGTGTTGCTGACGACTTGAAGTTGATCAATGACAAGGCACTGTTCTTTCATTTTCTTTTGCACTACTTTATTCCTCTCTTCCGACTCTTTTGCAACACGTTGGAGATTCTCCGTCAGTGACTTTACATTTTTCTTGACTTCCTGCATTCCTTCCTTTATTGTCGTTGCCTCTTGCTCAAAGCTGCCCTTCAGCTGTTGTACCTTGCCTCTTGTCTCCTTTAATTCAGCTTGTATCTGAGCCTCTATTGCTTCAGTGGCAGCAGTGATGGCTTTAGCAATGTCGTTTTTCGTCAGGTCTCCAGAAGGGGCTCCAGATTTTGTTTGTTTGAATCCCAAGTTCGAAGTGCTGAGTACAGGTGCCCCAAATCCCGGAAACTGGGCTACTGCCATCCCTAAACAAGATACGAATACCACATAGTAGAATCGTGTCATTGTGTCAAGTGACTTAGGAAATTTAGAAGCAGTGGTCATATTTATACCAACTACATAAAGACTCATTATTTCCAAATTGATTTCTGTAAACCTTGAGCAACTGTAATGACTTTGATGTGTTACTGAAAACTATTTTCTATTGTAAATATAATCTTCAGTCGAATCTCAAAAAGAGTTAAAGAAATGAATGAACATCTTTTTTAGGAGCTAATTATTTGTATTGGATTCAGATTAGTCAATATAATCAAACGACAATCAAATTGCCTGTGTTGTAAAACTAAAATATTTCCTAAATGACAATTGGTTCTTCTCTGACGCTGACGTTTAATATGTATGCAGAAAGGAACAAAGAACATCAAATATGAGTCGAAGCCAGCATTACCCGAACAAAAATTTGAAAGGGCTTCAATTAGAAGTAGTTTAACTCTATGGGAATCGAGATGAAAGATATACATGCATTGTGTAATCATGATATGTTCATACATAATAAAGATGGAAATTGTTGATATATATAATGACTCATTTGTAAATGTCGTAGTCGTACAACCCAGATTTCTTATCTTATGAATTTAATATTTATAAGATAAGAATTATGGCTTGTTTGTCGCTGTTTGTGTTTAAATAAGACTCACAATCAACTTAAACACATACAAGTATTTATATACACAAGAAGGTAGAGATTGTTTGTGGCTTTACCCTTAATGGGGGTTGAAGTAGTGTAAAATGATTGTCCCCCAGAGAGGCTATGTCAGACCACGTCATTCAAAGTAATGTTTTTCCACCACAATTTTAGTCGTAGTAGATATGTTCATTTAACATGGCTAAATTTGTAATTACTCGCCAACATCGGAATCCGGCTGGGGTCCACGCAGGTAGCAAATGTACTGTAAGCCCCTATGGACCCTAGCATGGGGATCTACCTTCAGCTGCTGGCGATCTATAGCCTTTTTTTATATTGTACCGTTATTTATAGTGATATCTTTTTATGGTTGTATGCTAGTTTTAAATATTAGCTGTGATATTCTAGTAATTTTACTGTCCATCGATGACAGGTTTTAATTTAGTTAAAATATATATATTAAAAATGTATAATTTCTCGTCACGATATGGCTGAAATAGTGCCGATGTGATGTAAACCATAATCTCACTCACACAAAACAAACAAGTGCCATTTTTCTGACTAAAACAGTGCTAGAATAACCAGAGCTATAAGTTTTGATGAGGAGTGGCTTATGAAGCTAATCATTTGTTGAGGCTTACAATTGTTTGTGTGCCAAACAGTAACTCTGTTCAGAGCCATGCCATTATTATAGCCAGTGATCATACAGTTTTACAAACATGTTTATTTGCCTGCTTCAATCATCATAAGTTATGTTGATATATTTACATAGTGAAACGTAGTTTAGAAGACGTGTGGATATTATGTGTAATGTCGACGTAGGGAACATAATCATAGTTTACAATATTCTTTCTTCAAAAACCGAAAAACACAGTTGTCAAGATAAAGGTGCGTGTCATTCAGAGATAGGACATCGGTTCCATATACACGCATGTGTCTGGTTCTTATGTGCACCTATGATACGTTTGTGATGGACGCGAGAGTCCCAATATAAACGTAGAATGTTACTTTTGAAAACGATGTGTACACAGATACGATTAAGTATCTATATTCAGAGATTCAGGACAATTTGGTTAAAAATGGGATTGCCTAAAAGTCGGGCCGGGCCGGGCCAAGACGGGCCAAAGTGTGATTGGCTAATTACTTCATTATCGGCGATCATATCTACATATTATTGATGCAACATACATGTACACACATGACACTACTGAACAATCACCAATCCAAAACGTGCAGCATAATTAAGTAATTCGTAGTAAATCACTTAAAAACTAGAAGGGGAGCTATGTGTTAGCGTCGCTGATCTAGGTAACATGTAAAAGAGCAATCGTTAAACGAAATAGGATTTGACACGTATCAAATACTTCTAGCTATCGTGATACGAATTTCCATCTGTCGGCATAGCGTATATATTATAGGAACGTACTATATCTAAGTAAATACCACTTTTTAACGTCACTGTTCATCGTATTTAAAGCAGACACGTTGGTTAAAGTAGACCTCTTCTCCCTCTACTCTCAACAGTCACACAGTTCGCTCCGACCTGGCCCGGGCTGTCAAAATCAACTTAAACCTCACAGATGTATCATCAAATGTGATTACCTCTATAGATTAGTGTTATATCTACATATACACCACTTTATAATGTCACAGATCGCAGTATTTATAGGAAACAAGGGGCTCAAAGTGAAGCCCTTTTCCCTCTACATTCTCAACATAGTCTCTATCAGAAGTGTTTGGCTTGTGTTGGGTCCGACTTGGCCCGGGCGGTCAAAATCAACTTTAAACGCACAGATGTATCTTCAAATGTGATTAAATCTATAGATTAGTGTTATATCTACCTATACACCAATTTATAATGTCCAGGTGTATCGCATTTAGAGAAATCTGCGCCGTTAAAGTGAAGCATTTTTACAGTATTTTCTTAAAAAGATCCAAGTCAGAAATGTTCGGTCCGACCTGGCCCGGGCTGTTAAAATCAACTTAAACCTCACAGATGTATCATCAAATGGATTCACATCTATAGATAAGTATTATATGTACCTATACACCACTTTATAATGTCACAGATTGCAGTATTTATAGACAACAAGGGGCTCAAAGTGAAGCCCTTTTCCCCTCTACATTCTCAACATAGTCTCTATCAGAAGTGTTTGGCTTGTGTTGGGTCCGACCTGGCCCGGGCTGTTAAAATCAACTAAAACCTCACAGATGTATCTTCAAATGTGATTAAATCTATAGATTAGTGTTATATCTACCTATACACCAATTTATAATGTCCAGGTGTATCGCATTTAAAGAAATCTGCGCCGTTAAAGGGATTTTAACAGCCCGGGCCAGGTCGGACCCAATGAGACTATGTTGAGAATGTAGAGGGGAAAAGGGCTTCACTTTGAGCCCCTTGTTGTCTATAACTACTGCAATCTGTGACATTATAAAGTGGTGTATAGGTACATATAATACTAATCTATAGATGTGAATCCATTTGAAGATACATCTGTGCGTTTAAAGTTGGTTTTGACCGCCCGGGCCAGGTCGGACCCAACACAAGCCAAACACTTCTGATAGAGACTATGTTGAGAATGTAGAGGGGAAAAGGGCTTCACTTTGAGCCCCTTGTTGTCTATAAATACTGCAATCTGTGACATTATAAAGTGGTGTATAGGTACATATAATACTAATCTATAGATGTGAATCCATTTGATGACACATCTGTGAGGTTTAAGTTGATTTTAACAGCCCGGGCCAGGTCGGACCGAACATTTCTGACTTGGATTTTTTTAAGAAAATACTGTAAAAATGCTTCACTTTAACGGCGCAGATTTCT